CCCATCTCTCAAAAAATAAATAAACATTAAAAAAATAAATAAAATGACTCATAGAGTTCATTTATAAATAGAAACTTTGAACGAGGAAAATCAACACCTAAAAAGAAATGGCAAATATCACCCTCAACAATCCTATCTTCGCAGAAGATCTGCCTGGCTTAAGGGTAAACAATTCCTGATCTCCTTGACGGTATTATTATTTATCAGTGACTGCATAAACTTTAAGCACAGTTTTGAACTTAAAAAACAGTGATTTGCACCCACTTTGGGCTTAGAAATGGAGTAGGGTTAGAAACTGGGTTGTGGCTCAAAATTGGCATGTTTGGATGGAAAATTCTGCTCTGAGAACAGAGACGGGCTGGGGCTCTGGGATCTTGGGGACTGGGCCTCTCCCACACAGGACCATCTGTCCTGCTTCTTGGCCCAGGATGAAAGATGCTCCCAGAAATGCTTTTCTGTGTCTGGAAGGAACAGAGAGTGATAACGGATTTATATTTTGACTCCTAGCGTTCGACTCGGGGTTCATGGTGCAAACAGGCTCTAGGAAATGTCGTGACTGCCACCCCGGTCAATCCCCAGACCCTCTCCCAGAGTGTCTTCTCTCTGAGACCTATTCCACTTGCCATGAGCACCTTTCGGACATGGCCCGAGTCTTAGCTGCAGACATGTCCTGTGGCTCTGCTCCAGAAAAGTGTTCCAGTTTTCTTTCCCTCTGACTGCCTGCGAGGGTCATAGCCCAGAAGGGAGCCTCAGTGGGATCTTCTGTTCTTTACAATGTATTATTTTCAGACATGTTCCCAGCTTTTCAATGGCAAACAAGAGAATAGGGGGCATGAAGCATTCTTCTCTGGTGATCTTTCTTCTTAAATATCTTTCTCCCTCCCCCCTGATTATCAAAGTAATACAGGCTTGCTATTCAAAATTTGGGAAATAAAAAAGAAGGGAGTGCTAAAAAGAGTCTAAATTGCCAACAATTCTGCTACCAGAAATAACTACTATTATTACTGTGGTTTATTTTATTTCAGTATTATCTAAATGAGCATCTACCTGTATGAATGTCTATATAAATATAGTCTTATGATTATAAACATATGTTAGTTATTATATCTTGCATGTAGTTTTTGACATTTTATTGTGACACTATTTTAAACACGCAAAAAATGTAAAAATTATATAGTGAACACACATGTACCAACTGTTAGATTCTTCCATTAACATTTTACTTAATTAGCTTTATCATTTACCCTTTCCTTTATTTCTCGCTCCTTCCCTTGTTTCATCAATTCCTCCCTCTTTCCATTCCTCTACTTACCTCTCTCTCCAACCATTCACATATCCATTGATATAACTATCCATCCACCCACCCATCCTCTATATATTCACTGATATATCCATCAATATATCCATCCATCCATCTATATATTCACTGATATATTCATCAGTGTATCTATCCATCCATCCATCCATCTACATACTCACTGATATATCCACCAATATACCCATCCATCCATCCATCCATCTACATACTCACTGATATATCCACCAATATATCCATCCATCCATCTATTCATTCATCCATCCATCCATCATACCCTCACTCCCTCTGTTCATCTATTCATACTTCTATCAATTCATCCATCTGTTTTTGGTGATACTTTTCAAAGTAAGTTACAGATGTGAATACAATTTACCCCTAAACATTTTTGTACATACAACTTTTATCTTGCTTCTTATTTCTTCACCCAACATAATATGAAGTTCCCTATGTTTTCAAATATTCTTCAAAAGCACTTTAAAAAATAGCCACCTGATATTCCATGGCATAGATATACCATAATTTATTATTTTAATAATAATTGAAATTATTATCATGGAAATTTTAAAAAATATATTTACTTATTGAGAGAGAGAGAGAGAGAAAGAGAATGAGAGAGAGAGAAATAGAGCCAGGGATGGGCAGAGAGGCGGGGAGAGAGAATCACAAGCAGGCTCCAAGCTATCAGCACAGAACCTGACACAGGGCTCATTCCCAACAACCATGAGATCACGACCTGAGCCAAAATCAAGAGTCAGGCTCTTAGCCACTGAGCCCCCCAGATCCCCCTATTATGGGAAATTTTAACTTTTTCTAATTTACCACTTTAATAAATATCTTTATTACAGGGAATATCTTTGAACGTGAACCTTTAGACCGAAGTTTTAATTATTTCTTTAGAGAACAGTCACAAGATGGAATATAACTGAGTCCAACAGTATGGACATTTAAAAAAAAGGATTTGAAGTGTAATTTCTAGTTTTCTCTTGAGATGGGAGCTTACTGCCTATGGTTTTACAGGGTTCCTTCTGGCATACAGGTGGGTGGTCGTATCTATGTTGTGGTGGTAGGAACATGGCCTCACACTCCAAAGTCTCTGGCGAGGTGTGGGTGTGGTCAAAGAAAATGTCCATGTTGGGCACTTCTCTACGGATTTCCTCCTTGAATCAACAGGGGGAGTCTTGGCATTCTGTATTTAAGACTTTATTAAATAGAGTAATTGAGGCAGAAATCAAAGGGACAGAAGAGCATTCATGAAACTTTTGTTTGTGCTGGGTCACGGTATGAAACAGTGTTTGTGTAGACTGTGGTTTGGAAAGTATAGAGGACGACATAAAGCGTTATGAGACCCCAGGAGAAAGGTGCCTTTTGAGGGTTGGTAGGGTTTGGGAAAAATGTCCCACACAAGATGATGACATTTTAACTAAATCTTGAAAGATAAGTGAGGAATTTTCCAGATGAGCAAGGACAAGAAGAAAGGGTCCCAGCAGAGGGAATAGCTTATACAATGTCAAGGAGGTAAAGAGGAACATGTTGAAATCAGACAACGTCAAGAAGTTAGTTATGTCTACAGGTGGAGTCTACCTGGGGGGCCTCCAGTTTGAACCCTCTGACAGGGAGTGACAGTGACTCACTGGAGGATCGCCAACAGGGCGGTGAGATTTGGGGCAGATTTGGGGCAGATGGTTTGTTTGCTGGTTAGGTGGTCTCGGGGTCGTGGACCTCCTCATATGAACTCTCCCTCATCCCTCTGCCTTTTCTCAGGCTGTGCTCCGTCCGTGTGTACTTCAAGAATCATCTGAGGTGTCTTATCTTCAGGTTAGGTGTCCACACAGGGTTAGGTACACGTTTGGCTCCTACAGCATCAACCTTATCCCTGGCAGAAGTCTCAGTGTGTTGTTTTCTCATTATCTGCTCACAACCTACAGGTAGTTGAGCTCTGTGAGGTCAGAACTCCTGTCTTAAGTATCGTTGCTAACGCCTGGGCCTGCCTTGTTCACTACGTTTGTTGAGTAAGCTTACAGATTATGGGCTAACCAGACCGATGAGGACAAGGATTGTCTTTGATAGAGGCAGACTGCTTTCCTGTAGCTGGCCAGCCAATCTGCAAAGGCAAGGCCCCCATCCATAAGGTGTGCAACATAAGAATACTTAGCGTGTGGGTTATTGGGAGCATTAAAAGAGTTCATACATCATTAGAAAAGTACTTGATAAACCACTGAAGTGTTTATAAATGTTTTTTACTGGTGCTTTAGTAGCTATGATGTCACCTGTTTGGGATACAGGAAGGTGAGGCACGTAGGAGGAAGTAAGAATGATTCAGGACCTGCCCATAGCCCATAGCCCAGGTTTTACTGATGGACAGACTGTGTTATCCATGGGCAGAAAGGGCAAAACACAGACAATTTAGGCTGAACAAAGTTTCCTGATCTCTAGCCTGAATTCGTTTGTGTTGAGGTTCTGAGGGGCAGAGGGATGCTCAGTTAGGCCTGGGGTAAAGCTTCTCATCCAGGACATAAACCAAGAGCAAACGCTGGCAATAGGAGTCTTGAGCTAGTTAGCCAGTTGCCTGTATTCTTCTAGAGCAGAGGCTGGAAATGCTCTCTCTACAGAGCCAAATGGTAAATACTTAGCCTTTACAGGGCAGACAGTCTCTGCTGCAACTACTCAACACTGCTATTAAGGGACGAAATGAGTCATAGATAATATAGAAATGAATGAGATGGCTGTGTTCCAATAAAACTTTATTTACAAACCAAGCAGAGGGCCAGGTTTGGCCTGGGGACTGTAGTTTGGCAAACCCTAGTCCAGAGTCTTCAGAGTCTGGTGATATGGTTAGGGCTGCATAGGGGCGGCTGCATTTCTTACTGTTTCAGAATACTTTAAGGTCTCTAGCTGGGGAATAATTAAAGCTGAAATTCTCCCTTCCTTATATTTTCTGTGTTGGGTACCTCTCATTGGGAATTGACTAACTGATGTTATTTGGGGGATTCTGTATCTTCAGCACCAGGATGCCGGTAGGGTCCCCGTGGGGAAGTTTAAAACCCGGGAGGGCTTAGGTTCTAATCCCATCTCCACTTGCCATTGGGGTGGCCGTGAATGAGTTGTAGAACTTCTTTACATCTCAGTTCCCTCACCTGTAGGATGGGGTAATAATAATACCTACCTTACAGGAGTGTTGAGAACATTAAAGGAGATAACATGTACAAAATGATAAAAGCATGGCTTCTCAACCTTGACCACTATTGACATTTTGGGTTGGATATTCTTTGTTTGGGGGGGGAAGTTCCTGTGCATTGTGGAATGTTTAATCGCATCCTGATCTCAACCTACTGGGTGATAGTGGCATCCCTCCCTCTAATTCTGACAACCAAAAATGTCTCCAGACATTATCAATGCCCCCTGGGGGCCACAAGTGTCCCCATTTGAGAACAATTCTATCAGAAAAATGCCTGGCATTGATAAATGCCGATTCCTATTAGCAATTGTTGAAATTTCAAATATTGAGGCTGGTGGTGCAGCTATTTATATAGTCAGATACTACAAAGTTTGGAATTTCTGAAGGCAAACACCAGATTTTGTATGATGATGATATTAATAAAAGCGGTGCCAGCAAACACATAGAGCTCTTGCTATGTACTATGCACCAGGTACAGCTCCAAGCATATCATCTGTATCAACTTACCTAAACCTTAAGCGAATCCAAAGAGGCAGGTGCAGTCTTCCCAAGGCTCCACATAATGCTGACGAGGTGAAGGACAGGCTTGAGCTGGGGCAGATTTGGGGCCATGTTGCAAAGGGGTAAAGGGCTCCACCAAGATTTTGCAGATGCTGGCTCCTACAACCTGCAAGGACATAATGCCATAATGTGGTGAGCCCAGGAAAGCCAGGAAAATTCCCCAAGATTCTGCCCACCAGACTTGTCTCCACATTCATGTGCTCCTGCCATGACCCACAGAAGCTACATCTCTGGGGGCAGAGGAAGTCCAGGTACAGGTAAATCTTGACTAGTAAAGCTCAGTTTAGAAAAAAGAAATCCCTAACTTTTTTTTTTTTAATGCATCCGGTTTCTTTTTTTTTTGTAATTTTTTAAACATTTATTTATTTTTGAGAGAGAGGGAGAAAGAGACAGAACAGAACACAAGTCGCGGAGGGGCAGAGAGAGAGAGAGGGAGACTTGGAATCCGAAGAGGCTCCAGGCTCTGGGCTGTCAGCACAGAGCCTGATGCGGGGCTTGAACCTATAAACCGTGAGATCTTGGCCTGAGCCGAAGTCAGATGCTTAACCGACTGAGCCACCCAGGGACCCCCAAAATCCCTTGATTTCCTGATCAAATCACTGATTACTTTCCCCAAACACGACCTTACTGAGCACACAAGAAGGAAGATTTTCTAAGAAACCCAACCTTTCCTGCAACTGAAAGCGAGAAAGCTGCGTTTCTGGGACTCCACTTTGGCTCAACTTTGAGGACAAAATGTGGACTGTAGCGCTTGCTTCTCTTTTCCTCCTGGATGGCAGGAAGTTGTGCACAGGCGATGGCACTGGAAGCCTTCCCTTCCCCCAAGGATGCTCCTAGCTTGGAAAGCAGTGTCCTTTTTATTCCTTACCATAAGATGGCACTCCCATGCCTGCACTAAAAATTAGGTTGGCTGGAGACAGGGCTCTTTGGACGACCGCACCAGCAGAAAGCCACTGCTCTCATCTGTATTTGCTTTACATTGCTATGCTAACAAGATGCAGAGATTCTATTCCAAATGCGTAAATGTTATTGAGTTTGCCAAGGATTTTTGCCTGAATCCGAGAAAGAGGACTGATGTTCAGGACCAAGGGGAGATGAGAAGAAGAGGGGGTGGAAGGAACAGAAAAGCTTGCCCATCCCGGCTTGGTTCAGCTCTTCGGTCCATGCATTTATGCATTTCATAGTAACACACTGCAGTGCAGATTTCTCTGGGACTGTGGCTCACACAGAATCCTGTTCCCTGGCCTCAGTTCTGTGGGAAGCTATTCTGCTGTTTGTGGCATGGCCAGGGCAAGGGACTGCGGAAGCAGAGAGGGCATTGCCCAAGCCGGGGGGGCAGGGGAGGGGGCTTACTTTCTGTCAAGTTTCTGATTTCTTGATTGAATCTCCTTCCTGCTGATGGAGGAGTATCTGAAACCTTGTGAAACTGAAGATCCAGTTGCCCTGGAAGGTGAGACCGCAAGTCTTCACCATACTGATGACTGTGGTCCTGGGTGCCCCCCCAAGCCAACACCTTCCCTTTTCCAAGTCCAGCGAGGATTCTTGGGTCAGAGAGACTGGTTGTCCCCTTGGGCCACTCTCCTGTCTGCCTGCCATTGCCTCAGGCAGATCCTCAGGTGCTGGGGATGCCCAGAGGACTTCCAATTTCAGAGTTTCTCCTCCTCTCTCTGTGCTTTCTTAGGAGTCAGGAAGCCTGAATATTTGATCGAATGGATGGAGGGTGGGTGGATGGAAGAATAATCTAATCACTCTGTTGTTACCTGAGAGGACACTGTATGATTTTATACCAGACAAGCGGGTGGAATCTTGGCCTTTTATTATGAACATTAAAGATCAGGTTAATGGCTTCTGTCTTTAAGAGGTTTAGTGCTATAGGAATTTAAGACATGCTGGTAATTATTAAATAATCATAAAAAAACTACCTGCTATTGAGCACCTGCTATGTACCAGGTTTATAGTTATATAACCTCTGTATACTTATGCTATATATCAAACTATTTCTATATTTACATGCTCTTATCTATAACGTTAACAGAAACTTTGAGAAGTTATATATATTTACACTTTTTAAAAAGATGTCTGATATGTTATGCAGTGGTTACCATCACGCTTTTCTTTTTTTTTTAATTTTTAATGTTTTTTTTTTTAATTTTTGAGAGAGAAATAGAGAGACAGCGTGAGCAGGGGAGGGTCAGAGAGAGAGGCAGACACAGAATCCAAAGACAGGCTCCAGGCTCTGAGCTAGCTGTCAGCACAGAGCCAGACGTGGGGCTCGAACCCATGAACCGTGAGATCATGACCTGAGCCGAAGTCAGACGCTTAACTGACTGAGCCTCCCAGGCGCTCTCATGCTTTTCTTTTTTATTTTCTTTTATATTTTAATGTTTATTTATTTATTCTTGAGAGAGAGCACAACACACAAGTGGGGGAGGGGCAGAGAGAGAGAGAAATAGGGAGGGAGACACAGAATCCGAAGCAGATTCTAGGCTCTGAGCTGTCAGCACAGAGCCTGACATGGGGCTCAAATCCACGAACCTAGAGATCACGACCTGAGCTGAAGTCGGATGCTTAACTAACTGAGCCACCAGGCTCCTCGACCACCATGTTTTTCTTAGCATTCATTGTTTTCTTTCTCCTTCCTAATAAAATTCTGATTTTTTCAGTTACTCCCCATCACCTACAGATCCTTTCTTTCCTAGCTCCACGGTTGGGGTGGGGGGGGGGGGTCCTATATAGTCTAAGCCATTTATGGTAAATCCAACCCTTTCGCCAGTGTTTGGTTCCAGAACTGGGCTTAATGCAATTAACGTGCAGCACCCTTCTGGACACTGTTATTGATCCAAGAGTGGATATGTGACCTGTGTTGGTGCAATCGGTCTAAGGAGAACACCCCACCATCACCCATATGGTGGGAAAGCTTCCTGCCTTCTCTGGGTATGTACAGTGCAGCCTGTAGCTGACAGTTTTCTTATAACTACAGGGAAATTGCCTTCAGGATGACATTGATGCTTGGCTGGTGGAGCAGTGATATGGAAGGAACCTAGATCCTTAATGACATCATTGAGTGGATGAATCAGTAGTCCTAAAACCTACTTAACTTCTGGGCTTCCTGTTAAAAAAAATTTTTTTAATGTTTATTTATTTTTTAAAGAAAGAGACACAACGTGCAAGTGGGGGCAGGACAGAGAGAGAGGGAGACAAAGAATCCAAAGCAGGATCCGGGCTCTGAGCTGTCAGCACAGAGCCCGATATGGGGCTGGAACCCACACACTGTGAGATCATGACCTGAGCCGAAGTCAGATGTTTAACTGACTGGGCCATCCAGGTGCCCCTGGGCTTCCTGTTAAATGAGATATACTTAAAAATACATTTACGGTTAAGCCAGATCAATTTGGTGTTTTGGCTATTTTTAGGAACGTGACTGCTTTTTCTAACAGACAAAAAGGAAATGGATATGCAGAGAGGTCAACAAGAGCAGTGTCAAAAACAACAAAATAATATTAAGTGACAGAGGCAGGACTGTAACCCTGGGTAGCCCAGCCTGATGGTCCGCACTCCATGCTCTGGATCCAAGCCCAGGGAGTTGCCTCCCGCTGAAAACAATGTAGAAAGTGTTTGAAAGAATGCCAGGGGCTTGGGGAAGGGGAATAGAAAGAACTTATAACTAGGGAAGGAAAACATTGGAGACTATTGAATGAAGCTCATTATTCCCATAGAATGTGAGACAATAGACATGTCAACAGAGGGAAAAACTGGTTAGCTACAAAATCTAGTGGAGAGAATAGTTCTACTATAAACTTTGATAAATTTCATAGGGCTTGAGATTTGATAGAAACTAAAATTGATGTCTTTGTCCGTTTTGGGAGGGAACACTCTCTCCTTTTTTTTTTTTTTGGCAACTTCCTCCTTTCTCCTCCTTGTTCTGTGATTAGGGCATAAGAAGAGATGATTTTTCTATTTAAAACCGCAAGAAAAAAGCCCAAATCCCCAGTGCCTGCTTAGTCCAGAATGAAGGACAAATTGACAACTGATGACAACTCGATTTTATCCTTCCTCCTGCCTCTTGGAGTAAGGACTTCTTGGACCTTTGCCCAAAGTTAGATTTGTCTGTCACTTCGGATGTTGGAAAGAAGCTTTGCAAAAGGACTCCTCGGGAACTTGCTGACCAAGGGAACAAATGATACGGTTGAGGGTGAAATTTGCTGAGAGATGAGGCTGAATGAAACTCCAATCGTCAGAAATAACAAGACAGTAACTTTCCTGGAAAAAGTGGCAGTTTTCTCCATGGCATGCTGTGAGACCCCCCCATTTATTTTGAAACATCTTAAAAACACAGAGCTTGAATATGCACCTCTCTAACGATGACATAAAGGTAGTACATAAAAGATGTTCAACATCATCATTAGGGAAAGGTCAAGCAAAACAACAAAGAAATGCAACTTCACACCTATTAGGTTGGCGATTAGTAAGAAAAGGGAAAACGACAAGCGTTGGCAGAGATGCGGAGAAACTGAAACCGTGTGCACTGCTGGTGGGCGTGCAGGATGGTGCAGCTGCCGTGGAAAATAGTGCGGTGGGTCCTCAGACAAGTTAAGCGCAGAGTTACCATATGATCTAGCAATTCCATTTGTAGATATATGTTGCAAAAAATGGAAGACAGGGACTCAAGTAGATAGCCTTATGCCACTGTCTGTGGCAGCATTATTTACAAGAGCCAGCATGTGGAAGCCACCGAACTGTCCATCAAGAGACGCATGGATAAACCAAACGTGGTCTCTCTACATAAAGGAATATTATTTGGCCACAAAAGGGATGGCATTCTGACAGAGGCTACAACACGGATGAAAACCTTGTCCTAAGTGAAATAAGCCAACATAAAAGGACAAATATTGTATGACTCCACTTGTATGAAATATCTAGAATGGGCAAATTCATAGGGACCAAAGGCAGACTAGGTTGCCATGGGAAAGGGGAAGGGATGGTTGTTGTTTAATGGGTACGTACGGTTTCCTTGGGGGTGATGATAAAGTTTTAGAAATAGTGATGAAGGCCGCACAACACTGTGAACGTAATTAATAACATTTAAAGAAAAATGTAGAAAAATATTACAGCAGAGTAATGACTGTCCCAAACCAGGTTATTGTGAGCACTGGATGAGTCACCTGTAAAGCACTTAACATGGGGCTTTACCAGGAACTCCTGGGTGGCCCAATCAGTTAAGCATCCGACTTCAGCTCAGGTCATGATCTCACAGTTGGTGAGTTCCAGCCCCGCATCGGGCTCTCGGCTGTCAGCACAGAGCCTGCTTTGGATCCTTTGTTCCACTCTCTCTCTCTGTCTCTTCCCAACTTGCACTTTCTCTCTCTCAAAAATAAATAAATATTAAAAAGAAAAAGAAAAAGAAAAAAACACAGGGCTTTACCAATGTTCCTTCCTGACCTCCCTGTGAGTTACCACTCCATTACTTCTGTTAATCTGAACGCTTAACTACATGCTAGACGACTAATGGCATGAACTTGGGGGCCAGACTGTATGTATTTGAATCCCATCCACACTTCTCTTCTGGTCTCTGACAAATGCCTGGACTTTTATGCATCTGTTAAATGGGAGTATCGATGCACCTACCTCACAGTGTTTCAGTGCGGATCAAATGAGCTAAGGTATGCACAGCTTCTAGAAGCTGCCTGGCAGCAGCCTCGTCCCAACAAATTATCTGTCTTGACCCTCGGGACAACAGTGCAAGATAGGTGATAACCCCCATTTTACAGAAGAGGAGACTGAGGTCAGAGGGGACCCAGGATGTGAATGCAGGTCCATCTCACCATCATTCCGGTGCCCTCTCCCTTCTATCGCTCTGTTAAGTTGTTCTTTTCAGCTACAGCTTCTTTCGACCTGCAGAATATCCCTGCTGCTCAGCTGCTTCATCTTGTGTATTATTTGGGCTCCAAATGGCGGCCCAGAGCCCCTGCTTCACTTTTCTTTTTTATTGCTGTAGCAGATGATGCGACGGATCCCTTTGCTCTGGCAACTGGGATTGGAAAAGATTTTTCTTGAGAACTGGGACTTGAATTCCTGAACCTGCCGTAAACGGACCTTCTTCCCTCCCCTTCCACTTATCACTGCTTAGAATTGCTTCTTAATGGAAAGGGTCTCTGAGTAAAAACAAGAAAAAGGAAAAGAAACTGGAAATTCCACTGGCACGGGCCCCATGGGAAAGCTCCCCCTTTACGGCTCCTTAAACTGATTATTTGTGGGCCAGGAATTCACGGGCTCCTTGCAGGAAGCCCCCTGGGTGAATGCTGGTGGGATTTTGGAGGGGGCTTTGCCGTAATACCTTACTGGAAGGGAGCAGCTCCGGAGGGGCCGCGGTGGAGAGGTGGAAGCAGCCTGTATTGATAAGCGGTTTAAAGCAGACCATTTCCAGCACAGTTGAAAGTAAAGAAAAAGGCTTATTCTGCAGAAGTGGGAATTTAGTAATGCCAACACACAGAACTGGGACTTCTAGGAGAGCTCCGAGGCTGGGTTTCCATTAAAATGTTTCTTTAAGCGGCAACTAGGCTGGACCCTCTCGGATTTACTTCCTGGCCATTAGCGGCTGCAGGGAGAAGATGGGGAACAATAAACGGAGGAGCTTCAAATTAAAAGGCAGAAATTTTGCCATCGAAGGTGGAGAAACGGTTGTGGGGAAGTTGCTAAAACTCCAGGGTAAACGTATCATGGCAGTTAAAGAAATGGATCTTTTTACCTCAAATTCAACTTCGAAGCAACTATCTCCAAAGTCTGGCAGGCTTCTTCCCCCGGCTCCGGGCCGCTCTTGCACCCAGGTCTCCGTCTGACACCGTCTTCTGTCTCGCCCCTGGGGCGCCTGGACCAGGGGGCCCCAACTTCCTTGACGGCCTCAACCCAGAAGTGACGTGCGTTATTCCCGGTCCGTCTATTGGTCAGAACTAGACACGTGACCCCCTCCTTACCGCAGAGGAAGCTGGGAAATGTGGGCGTGTTAATGGACTATTCGCAGAGATTTAAAGTCTCTGCTATACCGTACGTTTCTCTGCCAAGATCAGGGGTAGTGCCTGCTTCCGGATTTTCGAATCATTGAATCGTAGCATGTCTCTGTCTCTCTGTCTCGGTCTCTCTCTTTTTAAATTGCCTGTTAGTACCTCACTCAAGTCTCAAACCTACAGCTCTTGCAAAGAAAGCGCTAAATTCATCCTCAATGGCATCCCTTACACCCAACACAGCACACGGTGGGGGTTCACTACATAATTACTGAACAGGTGAAAACAAGAATAAATATGTGACTCTTCCGGGAACATAATCATACAGGAAAAAAATATGGAGACCTCATTGTTCATATAAAGTCTCTCACCTAGGAGGTGAGTGAGTGCTGTATCTGGGCGTCAGATGGCCTTTAACCTCCTAGATATCAGTCAGGTTCTTTGGTCTGAGAATCTTCAGACTGGAGTATTTGGAACCTCCCCCAACCCCTCCCCAATTTTGTACACGTGGTGGATTCAATGCTAGACTCTGTTCAAAGCTTCATGACTTTATTTCTGCTAGCCTGTGAATCGTGACTTTTTTAATGGTTTCCTAACATGCATACACAAATTAGAACAAGCTCATGGCTTTTTTCTCCCAAACATGACTGATATTTAGAAAATATTATTTATGTACAAAGTAATCGTGATACTGTGATTTATAGATGTATGTTGGTCATCTGAAGGATCAAATATATATTTCTTATATATATATGGGGTCCTCTCCAGTGCCTAGCTAATTGCTCCCCAGCCCTTGGAATTTCTTGTGTGAGAGTGATAAAGGTGTGTTTTGTAATGTTAATGAGGTGGCTTTTGGGAAGCACCCTATGGAGCCTGGTTGCCAATGGAGCCAACCGTAATTTAGGGGATTGTAATTTTCTGTCCCATCCACTAACCCTGAGGGGAGAGGAGTGGGGTTGGAGGCTGAATCAATCACCAAGGGGCATGGTTTAATCATCCAAACCTATGTAAGGATGTCTCCATAAAAAGGACAGGGTTTTGAGAGCTTCTAGGTTGGTGAACACGTACAGATTACGGGGGGAGTTGTGCCTGGGGAGGGCATGGAACCCATGGCCTACCTGCCCCCCACACTTTGTTCTACACATCTCTTCTGTCTCTGCTGCTTCTGAATTAGTAAGTAAAATGTTTCTCTGAGTTCTGTGAGCCACTCTAGCAAATTAATTAAACCCAAGGAGGGGATCCTGGGAACCTCTGATTTCTAGGCGATTGGTCAGAAATACAGGTAACAACCTGGACTTGAACTTGACATCCTGAGTTGGAAGGGGGGTCTTCGGAAACTCCAATTTGTAGCGAGTCAATAAGAAGCACAGGTAACAACCTGGGTTAGTGATTGGCCTCCGAAGTTGAGAGCAGTTTTGTGGGACTGAGCCCCTTACCAGTCTGTGGAAACTGTTCTCTGGGTAGATAGTGTCAGAACTGAGTTGATTTGGGTCGAATTCTTGAACACTAGCTAGTCGGCGTAGGGAAGCCTACACGCGCGCGTGCGCGCACACACACACACACACACACACACACACACACATTGGAGAAAAAATGTATTAACCATGTCAATTTGGGTGATATAAAAACATCAAAAAAAAATTGGCAAACCATAAAGGTGACCACAGATAAATTTTCAGTATTTGCACAAAAGACGTTTTAGTACTTTTTTATGTAGTGGAGACCATGGTGCGTATTTAATTGAATCCTGCTTTTTTTTTTCCCTCTTAGTGTGATTTGGAACCATCTCTCCATGCCATTAAAACTTGCTCTGAACGTTGTTTAAAATGGTTTTTTCCATATTCTAGTTTGTTACCCCTTCTGAATTGTGGGGCATTTAGTTTGCTTTGAGTTTTTTGCTTCCTTGGGTTTTTCTTTAGGATGCATTCCCAGAGGTGAAATTTCTTGGTTAAAGTGTATGAGCATCATAAAGAGCTTGGTAACAAGAGCCAAATTATTTTCTGGAACCGTCAGACCAATTATACTCCCCCTAGCAGTGAGCATCATAGCTCAAATGTACTCAAGGTAGCATATAAGTATCCAAACCATTTTGGTCCATAGTGGCCCTTTATTTTTAATTTCCTTCATTGACAACGAATGAGGTTTTGTTACTATTACTTCCTTTTGTTTTTTACACACGTATCTCCTGACCTGGTGATGAATGTACTCCTACTCTTGACCTGTTTGGCCTCTCACTCTATGCCTCTGATATTTGCCACCTAAGGCAGCTTCTAGACGTGATTCCAAATGGTGTAGCCCAGGACTTCTCACCCTCAGACTGGTGACATTTCACTAGTGACACACATGTGTACATGCACATGTATATATAGCTACATAGAGATCTCTATCTCTGTCTCCTTTGTACATATATTTTTGAATTTTCTATATGTTACTATGTTTTGACACTGTAAATGGCCTTTCTGGATGGGGAGAGAAAGACTGCCCCTACTGGGCTAAATATGGCAAGGGAAACAGCATTGATATACACCTTTGATATACAGGCACACCTTTGATATACAGGCTGACCAATGCAGAGCCCCTCTATCTGACCCTCACTGGCCAGAAGGCTCTTCCTCGGCCTTAATCATCCCGAAGCTGGTCTCAGGCAGCTAGACACCACCCTGTAGCCCAAAGCCTGCTGGAATGTTTCCAGCTAGCCAACCTTGAACTGTTGACATTGTCTTGCCTTGCCTTTATTTTTCCACTTATATGTGGAATTTAATTTTTTAATTTTTTTAAAGTTTATTTTTGAGAGAGAGAGAGAGAGGACATGAGGGAGGGAGAGCCTGACAGAGTGGGGGACAAAGGATCCTTGCTGACAGCAGAGAGCCCAATGCAGGGCTTGAATTCACGAAACTGGAGATCATGACCTGAGCCGAAGTCGCTTAACCTACTGAGCCACCCAGGAGCCCCACCTTGCCTTTCTTACAGAAACCTCAGGAAACCTTAGGAAACCTTGACCTAAGCTCTCCCCTTCCTGCTGTCTGATGTTTTTCCCCTGTGACCCTCTGCACGTGGCCTGCGGTGACTCCCTCTCTAGCATCTGTGCGTACAATAAAAGTTATTCGCTAAGCGATTTCCTGTTTACTCCCATGGCTGCATCTGGCTGGCCATCCTCGGAACACACAATAAAAGAGTTTGACCACCCCACTGTCTATTCACCCCGCTGGTACTGCTTCTCTATGGCACCTTGCCCGATACAACGGGGTTTGGGATCTGTTGTAAAGACAGAGCCAAGAGGTTTTGCGAATGGTATGAAAGGAGGAAAGTGGTTATCAAAGATTGCTTGTCTAATTGGGCCATGCAAGTACCCTCACACATGCTCTCTCGGCTCGAAAGAGCAAGGTTTTGCCCAAGTCAGGCTCGGGTGGCTCACCTTCCGTGTTTCTAAGTGATTTCATTCACACCTTTGGTGCTTTCCTGCACAACAGCATTCACCTCTTCAGACCCTATTTCCTGTGCCTTATAGTGCCTGTACCTTTCCCTGGGCATGTTTAATTAGTAGTGTTTTCAGGGCACATCCGTTGGAATTCTTCCAGAATTCCATGTAAGGACAGTGAGCATTGCAGTACCGTTGGCCCAAGCCCCCAAATATCTCTAAAGGACTTTTTCATTCCTTTCCCTAGTCTCCATCACCTTCCTGTTGCGCTTGGAGGGTTAGGGATGGTGGTGGGTGGGATTTAAGCTGGATTCTTCTGGGAGGTCCCAGATTGGAGGAGACTGGATGGTTCTACACCAGAATTTCCATACAGGTGCCAGAATAAAAGATGATGTCTGAAGACTTTCAAAGGAGTCTGGCAGCCTCAGTATTGATCTCAGGGGAGAGGACAGTTGCTTTTTGTGGAGGCTTCCTGGGAAGCTTTCTCTGCTAACCATAGATCCTTCTGGAAATTTCTGGATGGTATTGAAAATCTCTGCTCTGTGCCGGCAAACAGGCGTCTGGGGAGTGGGAAACTGGACCAAATGCCCTCACTGGGGCCCAGGAGGGGGTCTGCAGTTTCAGATTCTTTTGAGCAGAGAGACTGGTTCCAGGCCACAGGCACAAAACATTTATAAAAAGAAGCCAAGCTCATTTATAGTCAGTCGGCTCGTGACCCTTTTCTCTCTTCCCATCATGAGTCAACAAGGAGGGCAGTCTCACTGTGGCCCCTGCTCCGGTTCAAGGCTTTCCTTGAAAGTTGCGAAAACCAGGCAAGAGCCCTCCCCCATTATAAAAACACACACTCAAAATAAAAATAAGATTCACTCAGTACTGAGGGACAAAAGAAGAGAGAGAAAAACCTTCCAAAATCCCATTACCCAGAGATAACCACTGCTAATATTTTGATAAATATTCCTCCAGATATTTCTAAATACACATTCTCTCTCTCTCTCTCTCTCTCTCTCTCTGTCACACACACATACACCCCCACATACTTTTATGCAAATGCGTTAACATCATGTGTGTTCTCTTATTCTGTAACCTGCTTTTTAACTCTACATTATGCCATGGTCCTCTTTCTGGGTCAACACATTTAGAAATATCTCATCAATTTTAATGGCTGCTTAAAATTCTACGGTATGGTTAAAATGTACAATATTTACCCAGTTCCCTATTTGGTGGACATTTAGGTTGGTTTCAATGTTGATTGTAGAGAATGTTGCTATGAAAATCCATGCAGTTATATCTTGATCCACATGTATAATTTATTGCTCATTTAGATACCTTTCTCTTTTTTAACACCATAATAATAATAATAACAGTCTTTTCTGGGGTTGAGATGAGAAGATAATGTGGCCGGAGACTTCTGTGTCCCCTGGGAGAGTTCTCAGCATGGAAATGAAACCCAGGAGCCAGGCCTGAGTCATG